GGGATTTAACTGTCGATTATGCCCATCCAAAATTTCAGTCAGTGAAAAAAAAAAAAAAAAGAGGAGGTTCAGTCACTCCCCTTTGGGCCCTTTCTCCTATTACGCACCCTTATAAGCGACATTCTGAACATGGAAGGGTTAACTCAATTTAACTGTGTGTGTGTGTGTGTGTGTTTTTTTGGGGGGGGGGGGAGGAAGGAATTTAACTGTCAGTTATGCCCAACCAAAAGTTCAGTCAGCCAGTCAAAGAAAAAAACAGAAAAAGGTTTAGTCACCTCCATGGCTACGCCGGACCCGGACCTGGACATTTCCGGACATGGAACCGGACCCGTGTCTGGTAGATTCCGGGCGTCCGGAATTCCGTACATTTCCAGACCCCCGGACATGGGGGGATCCGGACCATCCGGATGTCTGGACAGGTCCGGAAATGTCCGGACCATTAGAAACAAAAAAAAAAAATCTGAAAAAAAATGATGTTATGACAGTTATGCAGAATAACAATGCAAACCACTTTTGCCTCAGAGTCATGTCAGAATTGTTGGGACATTGTCTTTCGTTTGACCCGCAGCAGATGACTGATTCTTCACAATCTTTTGCTCGACTGCGTGCAGCAATCTTACCATGGGCTCAACACAAAGGTACCAGTTTGTTCGGAAGTGCTATAGTTATTAACAATGCAGTTTTGTCCACATTATGGTATAGACGCTCTCTCTTTCAACTGGACCCCCCTTCCCTTCAGATGGTCAGGCACTTGTTGTCTCACTACTTATGGAAGGAGGAGATGAATGAAGACAATTTCCTGCCCAAGGTTTCTTGGCAGACTGTAGTGCAACCAAAAAGATGTGGCGGTCTTTCGATTTTGGACCCGGAAAGCCAGATCGTCGCCTTGCTGGCACGATGGGTGCCATGGGCGATCTTTGAATCACCACATTCGCCGTGGAGACAGTTGGCTGAGTTCACTCTTTTTTCTTTCCTAGATTGGTCTGATCTACGATGCTTTTGGTTAGCTTTTCTTTTTCCTGAATACCTTCGTAAACAAATACCACCTGGAGTGTGGGCTGGTATTTTGTTACATGCACAGATATGTGATGTTTGTAATAACCGAGGAACTGCAGTGTGATAAAAAGGACTGAAATGGACAATGCGGTGAGAGTAGAATCTCGACAGACAATGTGCATTCTCAT